CTTGAACATCGCCCTTTCTCCCCTTTGGCCAGAGCCCCACTTCCTACAGACCCCCCTCCATCTCCTCCCCTATCTCGACGCCCCCTTTCCTCAGACACCTACCTCTCCCCTCCCCCTAGCGCCGCAGACTTCCTGCTGAGATCTCAGGGACCTCACCACGACTGAAAAAGGAGCCTGACCTCCTAGCCCAACCCCCTCTATGTGTTCAGGCCAAAATGGGAAGGGGTCAGACTAAGCCCCACAGCTCCTGGGAAGGGGAAAAATAGGGACAGAAGTGGAGACGCCCCCCCCCCCAGTGTGTGTCTAGTACCCCTGGGACTGGCTAGGAAGCCACAGGGGAAGGAAATGGTTAGAGTGGCTGTTCAGCTGGCCCAGGTGCCAGCCTCTTGTCTGGAGATTGGAGGAGACACACCTATACCCAATTGTCCCAAGAGCCCCGCCCAGCACCTCTGGCCTAGCACCTCCACTCTATGCCTCTAGCTGACTCTGAGTCTTCCCTTCCATCCGCCAGATTCACTATGTACCTTTCTCCTGGATCCACTCAGCTCTAGAGTTCTGCCTTTGCCTTCATTTCTTATCTCATCTAACTCTCCATCTTCCTGTGAGAGAGACAGTTCTGCCCCCACCCCCAGCTCAGGCACCCCTAATGTTCTGCATATATATGCACACAAGGCTGCTCCTGTGCATGTTAAGTTTATGTCTGTATTTGTGTGTTTGTGTATATATGGAGAAGACTAATGCCCAGAAATTTGGAGGAAGTACATTCTTGTTGGAACTCACCCTTGTATATAGGAAGAGGGATCTATTGTGGGTGTACGCCATGAGCCCTGTCTCTTTAAGGCATAAACAAAGAACAGCCTTGTTTGACCAGCCAGGGAGACCCCTGCTCCCCAGCATCCTTCTTGCCACTTAGGTAGCTCAAGCCTTTCCCCCAAAGCCCACTGATTTCCAACTCCTTTCCTTCTACCCTTCCAGCCACAGGCTGCTACATTCCTAGGAAGATACCCCCAACCCCAACAGACTCAGAAACCCAATCACACACGTTCTGCAGTGGACTGACCCCCACCATGAGAGTGGACATGGGGCCTTTGGGAAAGAATTGGGATTAGATGAGGTCATGAGGGTAGAACCCTCATGATGGGATTAGGGCCCTAGAAGAAGAGAAGCCCACCAGAGAGCTTGTCTGCAGCCCATCTGCAAGCCAGGAAGAGAGCTCTCACCAGGAATTGAATCAGCTGGCCCCTTGACCTTGGATTTCACATCCTCCAGAACTGTGAGAAATGAACTCTTGTTGTTTAAACCACCCAGTCTATGGTATTTTGTTATGGCAGCCCAAGCTGACAAATACATTTTCTCACATGCGTACACCCACAATAGATTCCTCTCCCTATATACAAGGATGAGTTCCAACAAGAATGTACTTCCTCCAAATTCCTGGGCATTAATTAGTCTTCTCCATATATACACAAACACACAAATACAGACATAAACTTACATGCACAGGAGCAGCCTTGTGTGCATATATATATACACACACACATATATATGCACAAGCACAGACAGGAGTTCTACGTGCACAAACTCAGTCACACAAAGGACCGCAGAGTGCACGCAGAAATCACACATGTCCTCACATAGTCACACACGTAGATCCAGGCTGCGCATACACAATCGCATGGTTCAAAGGCCACAGGCCCATCTTTACCAGTTGCTTGCACCAGGCACAGCTTGGGTGTGAGAGGATGCACTTCTGGCAGGAGGGAGCTGGCTGGCAGGACCCTGGCAAGGACAGATCAGGATCCCCCCATCCTGTGGCCTCTGGCGGAGATGAGGTCTTGGCATCCAACTCACTCTCACCTCTGCTCAGGGCCAGCAGGAAAACAAGGGCCATTGACAAAGCCACCATGGTCTGTAATAGGATATAAAGGGGGACATGTGGGTCCTCAGAGAGGGTCCTCAAGTTTTTGACCCTCTGAACTTAGCCTGTGGTTGTCACTCTCAAAACTCTACCCCAACTCTATCTCCCCATGCAATTTTACTTCCCCCCGTGGATTCAGCAGTTTCTTCAAAATGGCAGGAAGGGGCAGATGCCAGGCTTGGGTAGGGGTCTTGGAGAAGAGATGTCCCTCCTATGTGCAGACTTCATAAGGCCAGAGTGGGCAAAATGGCCTAACCAAGAGTCTGGAGAGTAGACCTGGAGGCACCATGGTCTGCACACAGGTCTATTCACCAAGGTTCCAAGCCACAGTGGAGAGAGCCAAGCAGGAAGCAGAGTATGTCTGGTCCTGCCTCAGTCACTTACTGGCTGGTATCAAGTCAGACTTTCTGGGCCTTAGTCACCACAACTGTAAAGTAAGGGGGTTGAAAAATAATCTGACAGCCCTTGTAGCTTTCATAATCTTGGATTCGAAATAAGGGAAGAGAATCAGGGGCCCTAAATAAAGGGGGAAATCAGGGATTAGGAATGAGAGGAAAGAAAGCTGGAGGAGATGAGGGAGTGTGTGAAACAGGCAGGGAAAGTTAGCTGTATTTGATTGACCTGGTAGCAAGAGGAATAAAGATTAGACCATAAGAATAACTGTCTAAAGGTCTAGGATAATAGAGGAAGGAAGGTCAGGGTTGGTAAAATTTTCTCTTTCCTGTACTTTACACAAAGGGGTTCTAGATTGGAGAAAGAGCCTGAAGTCAGGGTAATTCCTGGAATGGCCTCTAGGGAACCCCAGGCAAATCTCAGAATTTTTAAAACTTATTAATTAAAAATGTGAATAGGCAACCCATTACCATGTTTCAAAAACCAAAAAGTTAAATCCCAATGGCCTTTTTTGCACAAATGGAAAAGCTGATCCTAAAATTTATACGGAATTTCATGAATAGCCAAAACAATCTTGAAAAAGGACTAAATTGGAAGACTCACAATTCTCACTTTCAAAACTTACTACAAAGCTGCAGTAATCAAGACAGTGTGGTATTGGCATAGGATAGGCGTATAGATCAATGGAAAAGAATTGAGAGTCCAGAAATAAATCCATCCCTTGATGGCCAATTGATTTTCAACAAAGATGCCAAACCATTCATTAGTGGAAGGAACAGTCTTCAACAAATGGTTCTGGGCTGACTGGCTATCCACATGCAAGAGAATGAAGTTAGACTCCTACCTCACAACATGTACAAAAATTAACTGAAAATGGACCAAAGACCTAAATATAAGTTCTTAAACTGTTAACTCTTAGAAGAAAATATAGGTGTAAATCTTCATGATTTTGGATTTGAATTCTTAGCTATGATGTCAAAAGCACAAGCAATGAAAGAAAATAGATAAATTGAACTTCATCGAAATTAAAAACTTTTGTGCATTAAAGGACACTATGAAGAGACTGAAAAGACAGGCCACAGGATGGGAGAAAATATTTGTAAATCATGTATCTGTTAGGTACACAAAATATATAAAGAACCCTTCCAACTCAACAACAAAAAAAGAAACAATACAATTTTTAAATGGGCAAAGGATCTAAATAGACATTTCTTTAAAGAAGACAGACAAGTGGCTAACAACGGATAAAAAGATGCTCAGCACAATTAGTCATCAGGGAAATGCAAATCAAAACCACAGTGAGATACCACTTCACACCCACGGGGATGGCTAGAATCAAAACAGAAAACAAGTGTTGATGAGGATGTAGAGAGAATGGACTCTTCATACATTGTTGACGGGAATGTAAAATGGTACAATCACTATGGAAAACAGTTTGGTGATTCTTTAAGAGGTTAAAACACAGAATGACCCTAGGAAAATTTCACCTCTAGGTATAGCCCTAAAAGAATTGAAAACAGGTGTTTAAACAAATGCAAACTTGGGCAGGAACGTTCTCAGCAGGACCATTCACAATAGCTAAAAGTTAGAAACAACCCAAAAGTCCACCAACGGATGAAAGAATAAACAGAATGTGGCACATACATACAATGAAATATTATTTGGCCATAAAAAGGAATGAAGTACCGATACATGCTACAGCATCGATGAACCTTGAAAACATTATGTTAAACGAACAAAACCAGTCATGACCAATCACATATTATACAATTCCACTGATATGAAATAGCCTGATTAGACAACTCCATAGAGACAGAAAGTGGATTAGTGGTTGCTGGCAGTTGGGAAGGAAGGTAGGATGAGTGACTACTTAATGGGCAGTTTCCTTTTGGGGTGAAGAAACAGTTCTGGAACCTGGTAGTGGTTATGGTTGCACAACATTGTGAATGTGCTTAATACTACTGGACTGTACACTTAAAGTGGTGTAAAATGATAAATTTGATGTGCATTTCACCACAATAAAAAAATCAAAAAGTTAAATAAGAGTGAGAAATCTCTCGTTCCCATCCCCCATCCACCCCAGTTTCCACACCTACTTGAAATAACCACTGTTTATTATTATCTTTTGTTGCTTATGATCTTTCTAGAGATTTTTTTCTGTATATACAAACTAATAGAAACACATACATACTCTTCAAAGGATAGAATCAAATGATAGAACTCTACAAATGATAGAAAACTTCACACCCAGTTTTGCATCTTGTTTTAACTACTTTTCTTGGAGAACCTGCTACCCAAGAAAATAAAGAACTCCCTTGTTCATTTTTACAGCCATACAGATTTCCATTGCACGGATGCATCATGTTATAGTTAGTCTCTTAGGATGGGAATTTACATTGTTTCCAATTGTTCACTATTAGAAACAGTGCTGCAGTGAAAATTCAGGTATGTATCATTTCACGCGCTTGCAAGTGAATCTGCAGGATGAATTCCTGGAAGAGGATTTGTAGAATTAATAAATAGGTATTATCTCTAATACTGGCAAGCAGAGTCGACATAACCTCCTGAGGGGCTGCACCAGTTTACATCCTCATCAGCGGGGAATCTGAAAGGCCAGCTGACTCGTTGTCGGGAAGCATCTGCATCCTTCTCAGCCTGAGACTCAGTTTTAGATGCTCTGCGCGGAGTGAAGGGGTGGGGTGCTGAGTCGCTGACCACCGCCATCCTGCTCCCCACCATCTGTGACCCCAGGCTAAGTAGATCTATATTTAACGGAGCCTCCACCCTCCTGCAAGAGTCTGGCCCAGGGCTCAGCCTCTGCGTAACCTCAGCCTTGCTCGCTCTGCACGCCGGTGTCAGGGGGGCTGGGGAGGCCACAGCACAAAGCCCAGTTTGACTCATCTCTCACAGGTGGGGCTCCAGGCCACACTGTTTCCCCAGGATGCGACAGTCCCAGAGAGTCACTCAGCTCCCCTAAAGGGGGCCCTTGGTCCCCCCTCCCCAAACCCCTTCTCCCAGCTCTCTCACGTCTCCTCTCCTCGCGATACATGATCTACCACTTGCTTCTCTTAATCTGCCTCACCCTCTGTCTCCCTTGCTATTCAAAAATCTGATTACATCTCTTGGCAGCTTTTCTCTCCTCCCTTTCTTGACTGTTCTTTGTTTTACTTCCTTTCCCCCTCTGACCCTAACCATAGAATGGCAGAGTCTTCCATTCCAGACCCTTCTTTTTGCAAATGGAAACCTGAATCCCAGAGAGGTGAGTGACTTGCTCAAGGGCCCCCAGCGAACTAAAGCAGAGCAGGGGCGGAAGCAGGCCAGGCCTCTTCCTCTGTTCCAACCCAGGCACTATCTCCATGGAAAGTTGTGCCTTCTCCTCATTAGCCCCAGCGGGCTCTGCGTAATCCCCTTCTCTTTCCTCTGAGTCTGCTCCAGTCTTCCCTTCTCTCCCTTTGGGGGTGTCCATTTTCCTGGACTTACTTCTGACTTCAACACACAATTTATTGCCCCCTCAGAGGCTGAGAAACAGAGCATCTTCCCAACCCATCCAGATCTCCCAAGAGGTGGAACTCTTTGCTGCCCACTCAGAGTCACAAGGAGGGGACAGAACTGAGCTGCTGGGCCACAGGCTCCCAGGAGTGTAGGATCTGTGGCCAAGGTGCCAACTGGGAGAGGTTGGTGCCGAGCACAAGGCATTTAGCAGCGATAAAGCTAGGGATTAATATTGGGAGACCCTATCTTGTCATAATCCTTGGCACCTGGCTGGCAAGCAAATGATAGCACTCACACATCCCCCACCTGCTTTTTCTCTCTCCAGACCCACTCTTGGGAAAGTGATGCAAGAAAGATGGGTGGGGGAAGGGAGGGCTTGTGAAACGGGAACAGGGACAGGGGATCTTGGGAATGCAGAAAGGACTTCAGAGCCTTTCTCAAGTCTCAACTGAACCCTGGGTGTCTTCAGGTCAGAGCCCTCTTCCCAGGAGGTTGGGACCAGGTAGGGCCTGGGCCGGTAAAAAGAGGAGGCGGGAGGGCTGGTGCCCTGGTACTCACAGGTGCGTGCGGAGCAGCCCTTCCTTCCTCCGGCGGTAGCAGCAGTAGCAGCAGCCTTTGTGTACTGATCTGGGAGGCTGCAGAGGAGGAAGTGACACGCCCCGGGGTGGGGGAGACTTGGGGGTGGTGGGGGTGACTGATCTAGGAGAAGGTGGAGCAGATAAGGGTGAAACTGGGCCAAGGAAGTTGATGCTACAGGGACCTGGAAGAAGGAAGCAAGGGAGCTCATCTATTGAGTCCCTGTTACAGGCTGGGTGTATCATGTTAAAATTAATTCTCACAACAACCTCAAGACACAGGTGTTAACATTCCCCCCAGCCCTCTGATTTTAGAGATGGAGAGGCTTTGGGGTAAGAAGTAAAGAATTTTGCCCAAGGTCACATAATTAGCAACTAGCTCTTCCAGGTTGAAATCCAGGTCTGCCTGCCTCCCAAATTGATGAGCTCTCCACTTCCTCATAGAAGAACATGATAGAAAGAAATATGGAGGCAATAAGTACTGAAGAGAGGAGGGAATTCGTGACTTGCTGATAACCCGGTGCCCACTGTATTACAGTAGGTGCTTAACTACATGGACTCTGGAGCCAGACTGCCCACGTTCAAATCCCAGATCTGTCACTTACTAGTAGTGCGACCCTAGGGTAAGTTACTTACTCTTCCCGTGGCTGTTTTCTCATCTGTTAATTGGAACTCCTAGGATTGCTGTGAGCATTAAATGAGATTATTTCTACCAGTTGCTTAGAAGAGGATGGGCACTTACTAAGAGCTGGATAAGAGAATCTGTGGATGAGAAGTCCTGGGGGTGGAGAGGCTTTGAGAATTCAAGGTCCAGGAGTAGAGAGTATAGCTCAAGTGATAGAGCACATGCTTGGCATACACAAGGTCCTGGGTTCAATCCCCAGTACCTCCTCTAAAAATAAATAAATAAATAAACCTAATTCCTACCCCCTCCCCCAAAAAAGAAATTCAAGGTCCAGAGAGCTGGGAATTTGGAGAGAGAGGCACAGGGCAAGGCTCAGAGGATGAGACTAGGAGGCCAAGGAGCCCGGGACAGGAGTAGAGGACGCGAAATGGGCGAAGCTGGAGCGGGGCAAAAACGAGGCCCTCTGGCAGGGAGAAGAGGTTGAGGCCCACACTTGACCACAGGGATTTTTGAGAAGGAACTGGATGTGATGTCTGTGTTCACAGGTCTGTCTCCTCTACAGGGACTGACTGAAGCCACAGTGCCTGTCTCCGAGCAGGTGTCCAGTGAACATCAGATGGGTTGGAGGAGTCCAGTTACTGGAGGAGCAACTGGGGAGAAGAGGGCTCCTCTTCTGGGTGGGCTTCAGCTGGCTGAGACCTCTTGCCCTTCCCCCACAACCATGGTTGCCATGGCAATGACCCCTCCTTCCCCATAGGCCCTGTGGTTTCCTCTAGAGCTTCTTTCACTTTCTTCTTCTGCTTTTCCTCTCTCCTCTCCTCCCCTACTCCCACATCCTCAACCTCTCCCCCATACGCACAGGTCATTGGTGAAGACAGCCAGGCTCAAGGTAAGCAAGGCCCTGGGCAGGGGGTGGCTGTTGAGGAGGTCACAGAGGGCAAGGGGAAGAGCCCAGGGGCGCAGTGATAGAGGCCAAAGGAAGCGGGGCTGAGGCTGGGGTGTTGCAGGGGTTAAGGCATGCAGAGACATGGAGACATATTAGGACAGATGGTAACAGAGGGGGTCCTGGAGGGCGACTGGGTCATGGGGAGAGGGTGGGGTCAGAAGGAGCAGGGGCAGTGACTCAGAAGGTAACAGTGGGGCCACAGAGGGTGGGCGCCTCATGGGGTGAGGGGTTGGCACCAAACAGAAACACTGTAACTTAGATGCACATTGTGGTTCTTGTCTTCTGGGGCCAGAGACCCTCATGAGAACCAAATGAAACTTCAATGACCACCCCCCCACCCCACCTCCCCAGAGAAGGGCAGATATGCAGAATACATAACTAGGGGTTGGGACAGCCGAAAGACCTTTGAGGCCCAGTCACACCTTCCCAGAGGTCCACAGGGTCCAATCCAAGCACCCATACCTGGTGGCTGTGAGAGGCCCAGACACTCAGGGTGGGCCCGTGTGGGATCCCTTCCCCCACCCAGGTACATTTCATCCTATTTCTTTAGTTCCCATAAACTAAAAAAGCTGCAAAACCCACCCTCCTCACCCAGTCCCTCTCCAGGTCAGCTGGTCATTTCCACTACTTCCTCCTAGAGGGAGCCACATGATGTGAGTTTCCATCACTTTATTTTGCAAAAATAGAAAACTCAGCAATATGCAATACAGCGGGATGGAAGGGCGATGTAAACAGAGGGGAGGGGACAGCACCCTGACCCCCCCAGAGAAAAAGGGGAGCCAGTGGGAATCTTATTTGGCAGCTAAATACAAACTGGGGATTGGAGGAAGAAGGGAGGGGTCATAGGGGCCCTGGGCTCCCCCTCCCAAGACCCCTGGAGGAAGGGGTCAATTCCAGGGTGTAAACAAAAGCTAATAAATAAATAGAGGCTTCCTCTGGGTCAGGGCGGGATCAGCTAAGCAGTGCCCACCCCCCTCTCC